GACTTCAGAGGATATATGGTCAATTACTTTTTCAGTGTTTTTTATAATTTCCAGATCGGGATTTTCTGGAACACTGATTAAATATTTGTACGGTAATAGGTCTTGAATAGTTTGGGTGAAGCTAAGTTCTGTTTGGCTGCTTTTAGGTTTACCAGTGGTGAGATTATTGGAGTTTATATCAAAGTTTTTAAGGTCGATATGGTTACAAACAGGCCTGTTGCAGGTGTCTAGTGGATGGTCACTTTGTGCACACTTAGTTGGGCGATGGGGTGTATGTCTGGGTGAGTAGTCAAGATCTACATCATCGGGCTGGCTATTGTAGGCAGGCTTACATGTACTCCGTGGGCCACTACTCAGGATGGCCGATTGTGAGATTGCTGGGTGTTAGAAATAGTAAAGTGATGAATATTGTAGAAATGTTAATATTGGTATTAGTTTTGGTTTAAATTATGAAATCAAATAACGATTATGCCGGTAAGTTGTCTATATGAGTTGAATTCCAATTGCATCAGTATTAGTAGGCTAACTGAAGGAACAAAAGTATACCGTGGAGAAGAATTCCAACTAGTGTTCCAGTTAGTTTGATACGGTTTATTTAGTTACGGGGAGATTTTCTCAACCTCATTTTTACTTGACCGTGATAGAATTTAATAATACTACTAATACACATGAATGTTCATTAAAACAAAATTTAAATACGTGAGTGATGATTATATGAATTTTGGACAGATAGCTAGGAACAAATCGTTAAACATGAGCGTATTCGTAAGAGACATGCTCTAGACTCAATGTTCTGATCTGTGGCAGACTATTTACTTGTATTTATACTTGCCGGCTGATTGGACATACAAGTTAGTTGCAAGTATGCAGTTTATCATAAGGCGGAACACGATTTAATTGAGATATAGTGGTTACAAGTTATTAAAATCAGTTAGACCTGTGTCATATTACGAAGTGATGTGGTGCTGCAAAATGTATTTAGCTAAATAAGTTTTTACAAGATGATTAATAGTGAGTGATGCTCATGTGATTATCAGGGAGAACATAAGTTGTAACCAGGGGGAGTACACTCCCAACTCATGTCTATGATAATGGCTTGAACCTTAGTCAGTGTTGGGGTAAATTCGACATTGATGTTTTCAGTTTGCAGGAGATTTGCTCGACTGCTTATACTGATTATTTGCATGCATGATTGTGTCGCTAACCCATCAATTAGACTGACAAGGTTTCGAGATATTTACTGAGTGAGCATCTGATAGAGAAACATACTGTAATCATCTGTAGTGAATGAAGATAAAAGAAAAACAACACTAGTGATAATTATAAGTCAATTTGTTGACCGATTTCGTTAATAGTTTCATTAATTTTATCAGTCATATTACGTGATTGTCAAGTCATGACAATGCTTTATGACGATATCCTGAAACTATTAAATTTAACTAGTTATAGTGTTGATTGAGGATTAGTCAGTGGAAAAATATGTATTGTTGCTTTAGGTGATTCAAAATTATCAGAAATTTATAACGTTAAAGAATCCGAGACGCCTAATTTAATTATAAATTTTAATTCAGAAATATTCGTTTAGTGTTAATCCTAGTAGACTACGGAGTTTTGATTTTAAACGTTTGTTTAGCCAACAACTACCTGAGGATTTAGTTATTTTACTAGTGCAGTTGATAGTACCTAAATTTTTAATCTTATTATCTAATCTATGTTCGCATTTTAGGCTGCTAATATGATAAACCAATCCATAAACCCAAATACGATTAGTAAGAACAGCTACGATGGGTTTATTGATAAATGTTAATGGCGATTCAGATGATTTCTAAATTTGGAAGACATGAAGATATAGTGCAACGCATGTACGGGCCAGGTTAACATGCAGGTTGTTGACGTATATGACAATTTAAAAATAATGAACACGACCAGACTGCTTATGAAACTTTAGGCAGGAATATGACGCGTTATAACTATTC